TGTAGCAACAATGGAGATGCGGCTTTCTAAGATGGAGAATGCCGTAATCGAGTTCGATCAGCGACTCGAGGAGGATGTCCTTACGAAGGTGGGCTTTGGAGCTGTGGTGGAAGAGCTTCAAGGCCAATTCCAAGGAGCCCTCAACTCCGCATTGGACAGCATCAAGCTAGATGTCCAAACTAAGTTGGATCATTTCTTAGCGGAGCTTACTGCGCTTCGTGATGAGGTGAAGGATGTGAAGGGAGATTGGGCCTTGCGTAAGGAAGCTGTCTTGAACAAGACTCGGACTTCGAAGGAACCCAAGGTGTTAGATTCTGTCAAGCCCAAATCCTATAATGGGAAGAGGGAGGCGAATGAGCTAGACACATTTCTGTGGAATATTGAAAGGTATTTCAAGTATCTCAAGATGGAGGATGATGAGCCCAAGATTACTACAGCAACGTTGTTTATCATCGACAATGCTCTCATGTGGTGGAGTCGTCGATCCATGGAGATTGACCAAGGTACGTTTACACTTGAGACTTAATATGAATTTAAAAAGGATATTATATTGCATTTCTATCCAGAGAATGCCAAGTATGAGGTAAAGGAGAAGCTGAGATGGCTAAAGCAAACGGGGAGCATGAAGGACTATGTCGCCACGTTCACCAACCTGTTGTTCGAGGTGCCTAGAATGACAGATGAAGACAAGCTCATGTACTTCATGAGTGGCCTACAGAATTGGGCCAAGCTGGAGTTACAAAGAAGACACGTCCAAACCTTGTCAGAGGCAATTGCTGCAGCGGAGTCTCTTGTTGAGTTCAAGAAGAATGATCAAGGCGACTCCAAGTTCAAAGGAAAGAAAGGTGGCAGTGGATCCGGTGGGGGAGACAACAAGCCAAAAGAGAGTAGCAAGTCAAGAGACAAGTATGATAGTCATAAAGTCATCTTGAAGAAGAATGACAAAGGTGACAAGGGGAAGGACAAGTCGAAGCTAGCTTGCTACTTGTGCGATGGACCGCACATGATGCAGGATTATCGGCATAAGAAAGCCTTGAATGCTATGAACCAAGAGAAGAAAGAGGAGGCCGACAGGGAAGCAGGAATGGGGGCCATTCACCGCTTTAATGCCCTACAGGCCAAAGTCGCTCAACCACAGGTACAAGCTAAAGAAGTGATGTTCGTCAACACCATCGTGAATGGCAAGACAACCCGTTGTCTGGTGGATAAGGGTGTCAAGCACAACTTTATGTCCGTGCAGGAAGCAAAGAGACTTGGGTGTCGAGTCTCAAAGGAAACAGGCAGTATGAAGACTGTGAATTCAATTGCCAAACCAATTGATGGAGTAGCTCGTGGTGTGGAGCTACACATTGCTACTTAGAAGGGAATAGCTGACTTCTCCGTGATCTCGATGGATGACTACAATGTCGTGCTAGGAATGGAGTTCATGAATAAGGTAAAGGCATTTCCTATTCCATTTTACAATACTATGTGCATAGCACAGGGTGGAGCAATGTCATGCATGGTGCCAATGGTGAGGCAACAAGACAAGTCAAAACTTTTGTCAGCCATGCAATTTTCCAAGTCTTGGAAGAAGGGCGAACCGACGTTCCTTGTAACTATAAAGAGGGATATAGTTGAGAAGGAAGTCCAACCAGTCCCAAAAGCTGTGGAAGCAGCCCTTAAGGAGTTTGCAGATGTCATTTCCAAGAAGCTGCCCAACATCTTACCACCTAAGAGAGAGGTGGATCATGCCATTGAGGAGGAACCAGTGCAAAGACTTCCTAATCTTGGCAAACCTTTTGAGGTACACACTGATGCATCAAATTTTGCTATTGGTGGTGTACTCATGCATGATGGACATCCATTGGCTTTCTAGAGTTGAAAGCTCAATGACACTGAACGAAGGTATACCGTTCAAGAGAAGGAGATGATAGCCGTAGTGCACTGCTTGCGGACTTGGAGGCACTACCTACTTAGTTCTCAATTCGTGGTCAAGACAGACGATGTTGTCACAAGCTACTTTCAGTCCCAACAGAAGTTGTCACCAAAGCAGGCTAGGTGGCAAGACTTCTTGGTGGAGTTCGACTACAAATTGGAGTACAAGCAGGGGAAGATGAATGTCATTGCTGATGCCTTAAGCAGGAAGGCTGCACTAGCAGCTGTTGTACAACCCCAAAGTTCTCTCATGCAGAGGATACGAAAGGGTTTGTTGCATGATCCCCAAGTCAAAAGTCTGTTGAAGCTTGTCAAAGATGGGAATACAAGAAGATTTTGGCTCAATGATGGTGTTATCTGTGCAACAGGGAAGAGAATCTATGTTCCAAGATGGGACAATTTGAGGCGAGAGCTACTGAAGAAGTGTCACGACTCGAAGTGGGCGGGACATCCAGGCACTCTTCGAACTTTAGCATTGATGAGTGAAGCTTACTACTTGCCACAGATGCAGGAAGATGTAGACTCGTTCGTACGGACTTGCCTTGTATGCCAACAAGACAAGACCATGCAGAAGCAGCCGGGTGGGTTGCTATAGCCACTTCCTGTTCCAACTAGACTATGAGAGAGTTTGTCCATGAACTTCATCGTGTGTCTACCCAAGTCAGAAGGGTGTGGCTCAATTTTGGTGGTGGTCGATAGGTTCACCAAGTATGTTACCTTCATCTTGGCACCAACGGATTGCAACGCGGAGGAAGCTGCACGCTTGTTTCTGAAGCATGTGGTGAAGTATTGGGGGATCCCCAAGAGTATTATCAGTGACCGTGACACTCGCTTCACTGGTAAACTTTGGACGGAGTTCTTCAGGCAACTTGGCTCACAATTGAGCTTCTCTACCAGCTTTCACCCACAGACAGATGGTTAGACGGAACGGGTGAATGCATTGTTAGAGTTATACTTGCGGCACTATGTGAGTGCCAACCAATGAGATTGGGCAAAGCTGTTGGATTTTGCTCAGTTCTCGTACAACTTGTAGCGATCGGAGTCGACAGGGTCAAGTCCTTTTAAGTTGGCAACGGGACAACAACCTATGACACCTAACACAGTGGTGTCAGGCTACACGGGGAGTAGACCTATTGCATACAAGACGGCCAAGGATTGGCAGATGACTAATGAGCTAGCTCGGGCTCAATTGGAGAAGGCAACTCGGAAGATGAAGAAACGGGCGGACAAACATCGGCGAGATGTTAATTTCCAACCAGGTGATCTGGTCTTTGTGAAGCTCAACCCCTCTCAACACAAGTCCACTAGAAAGGTACACAAGGCATTGCTGAGGAGATATGAGGGTCCATTTCTTATCCTCCGAACCGTGAGAAGAGCTAATTACCGTATGGCTACCGCCACGATTGAAGATTCATCCGATGTTTCACGTAAGCAATCTCAAGCCATACCATGCTGACCCTGAGGAGCCAAGTCGTGGGGAGTCTCAACAAGCTCCACCTTTAATGGTGACTTCATTTGACAAGGAGGTTGAGTGCATCATGGCCAAACGTGAGGTGCGACGCAAAGGTGTACCGAGGTACTTTGAGTACTTTGTCAAATGGAATGGCCTGGTAGAGTCCAAAGGCAATTGGGAGAAAGAAGATTCCTTTTGGCAATACAAGGATAGGATCGAAGCATTCGAACGAGAAGGAACTACCATGGCGACAAAGATGTAACCGGATTAGGTGGGGGAGAATGTTACGGCCCGCATGAGCTCAACCCAACAACTATCAGGCCAACCTAGAGGATCCATTTGTGAAGGTCAAGCCCCACAAGAGAAGCTCAAAGCCCGGCCCGTCGGATAGATCACTCTAGATCTCTTAGCCCATATGTCTAGATTCAATGTACAGTAGTAGGTAGATTCCGGATGGTTAGGTAGCAGTTGATCCTAGCCCTCTATTGTGGTGGTAGGTGGGGTAGGATCTCTATATAAGAAGGATGTCTCATTGTATATCCTCACCTCACAACTTGTAAAACATTGAGTAGCAATACAAGCATATGTTCTCCCAAACTCTCTTGTTCGTTCTTATCATTCTTGCTCTTATTTTTGTGTTCTTGCTTGGTTCAATCTTATTTTGTAGGAAGGCTGACTTAGCTTGTTCGAGAGGCGATCAAGTCTAAGGCCGAACGGAAGGAAGCGTGCATTTGTGGAAGTGATTGGATTAAACAAGAAAAAAGAAAGTGAAGAAGAAAATGATTGTACAAGATGAACAAGAATGGCCGGAGTGGTTTGTCCAAGATGTAGAATAAATATTTTCTTTTTTATTGTTTTGTAGTCTATTTCAATTTTGTTTCAACATTATTTCAAAATTTCAAGGTATTGTTGTTATTATCTATATATATAAAGCAAAAGGCAAAGAATGGTGAAACATTCAAAATACTAGAAAATACCCTTAGTTAATGCAAACATTAAGAATTGAAATTATTAATTAAATGAGGATAATATGGTAAATTCACATTTTTTCATATTTAAAAAAATTAAAATTAAAAGAAAAATCGGATAATGGATCCTATTTTTATGGAAAATAACTACACATTATCTCTTTTTTAATTCTAAAATAAAATTTAATTTTTTTTAAAAAAAGCCTCTCGCAGGCGCGGAAGCGCGTGCGAAGAGGCTAGTATATAATTATGGATGGAGTTTTCAAACATAAAAAACAAATGGAGTTCAATAAAGTATAAAATAATGGCCCATTTCATAAGGCTAAATAGGCCCGACTCACTGGCCTGATCATAAGCCCCAAAATGTTAGGCCTATGGATAGGGTCTGGGCTTTGTATATTTGATATAGGGCTGGCTCGGCCTGATAACTCCTTAGGATTGAAAAGGCCCGTTACTAGTTAGGACTTAGGCTCACACCTCTTAGGGCAGGGCTGGTTCGGCCCGGCCCGTTTTACAGGCTTAATCTTGACACAACATGAATTCGACACGACACGATCCATTACCAACCCTAAAAAAACCCCTCATATAATTCCAACAATTTAAGAAGAAAGAAAAAAGAAAATCAATTACGCGGGGCCACGTGTGGGTCCCGCCAAGGTTTGTGACTAGTGTGTACCGGTCCTTGCCACCCGTGAAGTCACACAGCCGCTTCCTCTAGAGCAAATGAGGCGTGCTCCTCCTCCTCCTTCCCTCCAATTCCTCGCCGCAGCAGCCACCGACGCAACCACCGCCATGTCTTCGCGCCCTCCTGTACTTTCTCTCTCTTCTCCAATTTAAAAAATGGCTCTGAAACTTTCAGCTAATTGGTGCTTTCTCTTTTACAGTACCGAGGTGGTCGAAACCAATGGCCGAGAGCCTCCTCCTCGAACCGCCCCTACTCGGGCGGCAGAGGCCCGTACGTCACCGGAGATTCGCATATCCGATCGGTCCGCGACGCCAATCTAGAGTTCCGGCGAGGCGACGCCGGCACCGGACCCTTACCCAACCAAACCGCCTTTCGTGAGCATCCGCCGCCGCCGCCTTTTCAGCACAACCATCACTTCCCTCAATCTCGGCCGTTCGATACAAACCAACCGTACCGGCCGAACCAGCAATTCCGGCCTCCTCAGCAGTTTCAGCCTCGGCAGCAATTCCGGCCTCGGCCGAAGCCCTTGGATTATCGCAACTGGGAGTTTGCGAAAACGACGCCGCCCCCTACTTGTGGTAATCGACCGTTACTATTTGTAAATGTATCAGAGTTGTTTTGGTTTGGCTTTCTTTGAATCTATCGTTTGGGGTTGACAGATAGGTTTACGGTGCTATCTTATAACATGCTGGCTGATTCCTTGGCCCATGAGCACCGGAGCAAGCTTTACTTTCACATACCTTATCATATGATGGACTGGCAATGGAGAAAGAATAATTTGATTTTTGAGCTTGGGCTGTGGTCAGCTGACATAATGTGCTTTCAGGTGCATCTTAGCTGCTTCATTTTATGCGCAATCTTCCACAAAATTCTGTTAATTTTGTATAATTGTAGTCTTCTTATACCAAGCAATATGGTGAAGCTTGGGGCAGTTGTGTTTGAAGTGTCTTGATTTATGTTTTGCTTTGTCATGGGCCTGGCTGAAATTTTTATGGTCTGGTTTCAATTGCAGGAGGTTGATAAATTTCAGGACATCGAGGAGGAGTTGAAGCTTAAGGGGTACAATGGCATTTGGAAGGTGTGCTTAGAAATGCATATGTTGCTGTTTTGCTAAATCAAGAACATTCACATCATGTGTTAATGCTTCCCTCTCTACATGTTTTGGTTTTAAACAAAGGCTTTGGATGTGTATCAGACACCATTTTGAGAATCAGTACACACTGTATTTTTAATGTAGTTGACTGGAGGGGTTAGAAGCAAAGATTAAAGAATATGAACCGTGTAGCAGAAATGAGGGTTTTGAGGAAATTGGTAAACGGATAGCATCCATCTTGGGGGTTATTTTGTTCGAGAAATATCATTGTTAACTATTATTACTTCAAAATTGATGCATAAAATATCCGTCTAACTGAATAATGATGGATATTGTTAAGAGAAGGATGCCATTTTTGGTGTTCTTATTGCATGTAGATACCTTTTCTATAGTAGGAAAGGTCAGGAAAATAGATTAACTTGGCTAACTTTCAGCAATTCAATAAGTGCTCTGTTTAATAAAGTCACTTGATTAACGAGTTATTTATGGTTCAGCCCAAAGGAAAAAAAAAAAGTTATTCATGGATGATGGAAATTTACCAATTCTTGGTTTGTGCAGATGCGGACTGGCAATCCAGTTGATGGCTGTGCAATTTTTTGGCGATCCTCAAGGTAGAGTATGTATCTAGTTTTTGGATATCCTTGAGTTGTGAACAGTTATGCATCCATTTTTCCATGCTGCTTATGAGCTAAGTGAGTGGCTTATTTACTTCCCTGGCTGTGAATATTATCAGGGTATGTGAATATGTGCCTGAACTAGCTAAAGATAAAAAAGTACTTTGTCCTTCCGCTCCAGTGACAGTGCATAAGAGTTTTCATACTCATTTACCCTGTTTAATTTTCATTTCCTTGTGTCCTAAATACATTGGTATGTGAACCTGCCTACTTTCATGATAACTGAATATATGCTCACATTTATACATTCATCTTATGGGGTCTCCTAATTGGGAGCTGGGTTATAAGGGCAATCTAGTTGAAGTATGGGGATCTTTAATGGAAATAGGAAGTGTAGATTGATGAATTACAAAAACTTGCCCTCAAAACATAACTGAAGGTCATTCAATACGAGTACTTAATTATAGTGATGGCATATCTTAACAGTTATTTTGATGAACGAAAAGTCCCTTGGTTTGGCTGAACTAAGGACCCTTGCCATAGACCTAGTATATCTCAATTTACTAATTTCCTGTATTATGTCTGATCTTTCATTTCTTATCTTGTCCTAGTCATCTTTTATTGCACCACTGTAACTATTCTGTTTTGCATTCCCTTATTACTACTTTGTTATAACTTATAATATATTCATCTTTACAGACTTAACATGCTAGCACCATATGCTAATGTTGAGCAAAACTGATTTGCTACTGTAGTCTACACCTTACCTTGGTTGCCTTTATAGATTCAAGTTGATTCATGAGGAATGCATTGAGTTCAGTAAGCTTGGACTTCGGGATAATGTTGCTCAGATATGTGTACTGGAGGTATTTTAATTATTTATATCTTGAACCTTACATGTGATCACCAGCACTAGTTCTGATTATTCAAAATTGGTTTGTCCATTTCATTTCCTTTTTATTTTGTTTGATATGGTTTCATGTAAATACTGTTAGTTTTTTTGTTAAACAGTCAATATGCCAGACCAAAAATCTTGCAGTTCTACCAACAAGGTAATATAAGAATCTTTAGATAATTTACCTTCATTTGTGTAATACATACGCACGCACACATGCTTTAGTTTTGGGATTGCCTCAACCTTTGGTACATTTAGTCACCTAGATATGAAGTGACTTTGACTAGAATATTTGGAAAACAATTAATTTTAAAAGTAGGAAACTCTCTCTGATGCTGGGATACAGATGAGTTTAATAGTAGAAGAAAACTGTGTTTCCTTTTTGCAGATCTTGTGTAACTGAGTTTTGTTTGCATCTTCAGCTCAACAGGTTCTAATAAAGTGGTCATTTGCAACATTCACGTGCTTTACAATCCTAAACGAGGAGAAATTAAGCTTGGCCAGGTAATTACTCTCTTTTGAGTAGGCCATACAAATATATATATATATATATATATATATATATATATATATATATATATATATATATATATATATATATATATATATATATATATATATATATATATATATATATATATATATATATATATATATATATATATATATATATATATATGTATCTCCTTCTTTGGCATTCTTGTAATGGCGTTCAAGTAAGATATAAATGTGTGTAAAATCCATCTCAAAGTTTAACTTCAGTGATGCTAAAGATTTCATTCAGCTTTAAATTTGAAATCATACTTTCCTGTATGTTTCCTTCAAACAGGTCAGGGTGCTCTTGGATAGGGCTCATGCCATTTCCAAAATCTGGAATGATGCTCCAATTGTTCTTTGTGGGGATTTCAATTGTACGCCAAAGGTTTACTTTTAACACTCTTGAAGTCTATATCTGGAATGTGACTTGCAATGGATACTTGTGGCACTGCTGGAGCTAGTTCTTTATTTTATTTTATTTTGATGGTAACACTTTTTTCATTCTTTTTGTCAGAGTGCGTTATACAACTTTATTTCAGAACAGAAGGTAAGCTTCTTTCTTCTCCATTTTTAACCTCCATCAGTTTGTAAGTTACAAGTGTAGTTACATCGTACTTTTGCAGTTAGATTTGTCTGGAGTTGACAGAGATAAAGTATCTGGACAAGCTTCAGCTCAAATTTATTCACCAAGGTCATATAATCGTAATTATGGGTAGGTTTTGTTGGAGTCAACTACTGAATGCTGATATAACGACTACAATTCTATTTGTGAATACCTCTTCTATTTTGAAGTGAAAACTTTTTAAAAAAAATATTGCAGGGCTCAACCTGGCAATCATTTTGTTCAAGGTCCATCAGTGGTAGACGGGAGGGAAGGTGGAATGAAGCCGAGTGATTCACCATTGGATATTCAGAACCTAAACAATCCAGAAAGTAGTGTGGAGAATGTTCCATTAACAAACAATTTGTCTCAGCCTCAACCTACTAATACCCTCAATTGGTTTGATAAATCTTGCACCAATGTTGATTCTCAAAAAGAGGATGGTGCCCAAGATGTTGAAGTTAACAAAGAATCTAAGCAGAATGCTGTAGATGTCTCTACGGTTGAATCAGCTTTCCATGTTCCAGGTGATGGCTTAAAGGATGAAGCAAGTACTTCTTACAGTGAAGGTGGCTTTCCTGTAGCTAAGTTGACTGATCCTGAACACGCTTTCTCTAATGTGACTGAGACTGGATACAAAGAAAAAGTGGATTTCACCTCTACTTCAAATCATGGATTACCAAGTGAACATTCGGACTCAAATATTTGTGTAGAAAAAGAAAGCTTGAACTGTGATATCCATAAACATCCCTCTACAAGGGACATTGATTCTATTAGGGAAGGGATTGGTCCAGATTATGTGGATCCTCTCCAGTCAGAAATTCCTTTGTCTAAGCTATCCTGCCAGACTTCCATTGCTGATGCTATCGAAGTCTCTTCATTGGGGAACTTAGGAAATTTGTCTTCTAAACCAATTTCTTGTGTCGAGAACGATAGCCGTTCAGTCCCAGAGCAAGTCGACATATCATGTGCACCTACTAGTGTTGACCTTGAGTTGCAGAAAAATCTAGAAAATTTATCTCTTACTGAGTTAGATGAAGCCATTCCAGAAGGCGGAAATACAGCTGAAGATGATAATACATTTATATCTGCATTACACAACACAGAAGATGCCTTTCCATCTGATTTTTCTGTTTCTCCCAACTCAGCGTTGTCTGCATCAACCAATGCAGTTGAGGATGGTTTATCTCCAGGATTGGATTCAGAGACTGTTTATGTGGAGAGAACTCCTTATGATCCCTCACTATGGACTCCAATGGAAATAGAAGCTGCTACAGGCAATTCAGAATGCACTCTTTTAGAACATCCCCTAAAGCTTAGGAGCACATATACTGAAGTTGAGGTAGTCATATCGTCTAAAGATCCTTCACTATCGAACTCTATCTAGAATGTTGCAGTTTGATCTGCAATCTGCATAGCAATCACAAATGGTTTAGAAAATTTACCACTGTTAGATATTATACTTAGTCAGGATCTGAAATTTTTCCTCATACACTTATTTCTTTAATCTTTGCAGGATTGTGCTGGGGCCAGAGAGTCAAATGGAGAGCCCCTGGTTACCAGTTATAACAGATGTTTCTTGGGCACAGTTGATTACATCTGGTAAATTTTCTATGATTCTGATATTCCTTAACCACTCCTGTCAGTCTATTAATACTATTAGATTTTGAAAGTTGATAAATCATTGAGTAATTACATTACTTTCTTAATAAATAAAAAAGAGTTTATGCATCACTCTTTCAAATATATATTTTTTCTTCATATTCTGAGCATGTAGAATAGGGTTGAGACCTTTTATTTCTTATAATTATTATTTTTAAATATCAGGCGCTCCGAAGGTCTGCAGACTGTAAGGGTGCTTGCTCCTATTCCAAAGCATGCTATGCAACGGACTTCAGGGTTCCCAACCAAGGTATGGGTTTTCTACCGAGCTGATGTGATGCCTTAGAAGGCAAAAGTAATGAGAGAGCTCGGTGAACATTAAACAAAGAATGATATCTCTCTAGTATTTTATTGAAAGCAAAGGAAGGATTTACAATATGATTATAAGAATTGACTTCTCATTGGATCAATTTATAACAAATAACATTTATTAATCCAGTCGGTGAAACAAATGAACTTGAGCTTAGACATATCCCTGAATGGATATTTTTCCGACTGTTTTTCAGAAATGGGGTAGTGATCATATTGCCTTGGCTTCTGAGTTGGCGTTCGTGAACAGTTTTGACCAATCAGAACAGCAACACAGAAGTCCGCACCAGTAGTCATTATTGACATTTGAGGATTGCATTCGGAGAAGTTGCGGGATTGACTGTCATCTCCGTCAAATTTTTTCAGCGTCTAGTTTCACCTCTTCCCACATGTTTTAGGTTGTGGGAAAAACTCAGTCACAGGTTCTCTTCCAAAAATTTGAGGTTAGTTGAGTTTTTCGGCTGCAAATTCCTCATGTATATATTTTGATCTTCATGTATTGTCTGTTTTCTATTTTTCTATTTTAAACTTTAGAGAAATTCACTAACCTAGGCCCTGGACGTACAAGTGTTGCTTGAATTACACTTTACGAATTTATAAAGAAGTTCATCTATTTTATAAAGCACACTAATTGAGTTCTACATTTTCTATTTGGCGGCGTGGCTGACAGCCGTTGATTGTTATGAAATTCACAATGGAACAATCAAAGGTTCATAGTTACCCATACGACTATGACGACCATATTTTAGCACAAATGACATCGTATTTAGCACAACCCAATGACAAAAACATACCTAGTAATAAAAGTACTATTATTTTCTTGCCGAAAGAAAGGTTGGCCATTTGATACAAAGGAAATAATATTTTGTATTTTGTCATGCACTTGACGCTTCATTAACTAATCAAAATGGCACAAATTGTTTCTTCAGAAATTGAATCAACTTCACTTGTTAGCTCAACGAGCATGTTCTACATCAAAAAGAAACAATATTAATTCGTGACCACAGATTTGTTTTCTGACTCCAACGAAAGAAAACATGTATAAATGGATGAAATTACTAAATTTATTTATGTCATTAAAAAAGCTCCATTGAACTACGAATACTAACTGGAAAATATTAGGCCTGTTTGGTATTGGATTTGAATTCAATTTTATAAACTCAAATACAGATTTTAAGTTCAAAACCAGAAAAACCCGTTTGGTAGGCCATTCTTAAAAACCCAAACCTCAAAAAAACTTAAAAACACCAACAAATTAAAAAACAGAAAAAGTCATGATTTTCTTGTTCTTCAGTCAAAACCTTCTTTTTGAACTATCAGTCAAACTAATGCCAGATACATTTTAACGGCTCTAAACTTGCCTGCATTATTTAGATGCTCATTCTCGAACTTGTACCATTGGAACAAATTGTTCATTAGATTAGAGCTATTGAACTTGAAAGGAAAAGGGTATATCTAACTTGAGTTTCATGTCAGTGTCTGCTTCTATATGGCTGCACATGTAGACTGATAGAATCATTGGGATTTGGGGATTTGAGTAAAAGTTCCACATCCCTCTTATGATGACTTCAAGGGCTGCTAAAAATAAAAACACCCCAGTTAATCTGTATTCCACATTTCCAATATGTCTTGGAGGATATGTGATATGTAGGAGTTAAATAAATCTAATGTTAATGTCTTTTTTCTTAATTTATTATGCAATACCTTGATGAGAACAAATACTTGATTATGTAGATATTGGATAATCAAAACCTTGGAAAACTTGCTAAGTGTGCCCAGTAACTCCTCTCTCTCTCTCTATCTCTCTCTCAAACACACATGCTTTTATGTGTCTATTTTGTTTCTAATCTTGATTATGAGTAATCTTATGTGGACACTGAAATCTTCATTTATGAGTATTTTTGTCTTGGATATAAGAGCAGTGATTTTTTTCATCTGTATTAAGTTTCTTCTTGATATTTTATTAATTTTACGACCATCAGTGTAATGGTTCATTTCTATTTTCTGTTTTGCGCTTTAGAAAACAATACTCTTGATTTTGGCTCCTAAAAGCATTATGAACTTAAAACTTGGACTATGGTGGCTTTTGTTGTCTGAATTGGCCTTATGCTTGCCGTGTGTTTATTGTGATGCGTGAATTGGTCTTATGCTTTCCATGTGTTAATTTTACAGAAAAACTTAAACGTAAGAGTGAAAAGGAAATGTCCTCTCCGTATAGAGAATTGAGCTCTATTGAAGATTGAATGGAAATATTGGAAGGCCATATATATATATATATATATATACAGAGACACTGAAAAAGAACGGCCATAGTCACTATTATTTCCATTAATGACATTTGATGACTTTTGATGACTGTTGTGGGGTGACTAAAGGCTTTAGTCAAGAACATAAATGACAATAAGCTACATATAATCTTCTAATTTGGAGGTTTCTCAAGGTCTCAAGCTTCTTCTACACAGTGCATGAAATCAACCGCGATGGAAACCACATAAGAGCACGCCCTTAGGCATTCCACCAGTGGCTTGAGACAAGCACTGCAGCAGCCATTATTGTCTTCAACAGGAAAGGGTTGTGCAGCTGTTGGGCCCGATTCAGACCCCTGCCTGATCAATGAACACCACCATCCATAAAAAGTTTGTACTAACAAACATAATCATATAATTAATTAACATGCAGTTTGTTTTTTGTTTTTTTGGTACTTAATTATTTTTTAAGATATCGCACTTACTGTGTTGCAGTCATGTACATCTGAATATGTGGAGGATTAAGAACAGGTGGCTGCGGCTTAACAGAAAGCAGCTCATCATTTCTGCATGCGTGAGAAAGTTAACAAAACAGACAAACGATATATCTAAACCGAAAACAGAAATAATAGTTTACATATTTAGAACCCTAAATGCTATATCAAGAAAAATGTCCAAAAAAGAAAAGGAGCTAGCTAGCTAGATGTGGAAATTACTGTGTAAGCTTTTTGGCCAGGTACAAGAATGGTGCCTCAAGGTTGTGATCGTTGTTGACAGAAATTTCAAAGTATGGCAGAGTAATATTCTTGACCTTTTTCCAGCAAATATTCTTGTCTCCCATCATCATCACATGATTCACATTCACCTTGTTGCTACACAAAACAATCGGAATGTTCTCGTACTCCCTAATAGACAGCAAATTAATAGAAAAGTAGAAAAGCTACCATCAGAAAGAAGAGTTAAATCAATACGCAACATTAATTAGATAGGAACAGGATAAATAAGACATATACCTGGAGAGAAGATTGTAGCATGTTTGGAGAAAGTCTGGTTTCAAATTAGCAGTCTCATCAAACAGGATAACGCCACCGTGTGGGACAACACTGATGATAACCAAGGAAAAATGTATGAGAACCAGACTTTTTCCTAGCAAAAGGTATATGATGCTTTTAATATCAGAACCCAGCACACCTCCCCCAAGTTCCAATCAACTGACAGATTTAGTGCATTGACGTCTGAGGCACCTTCCCTTTTTACTCCACCCATGTTCCACCACACTTTCCCAATTTTATTCACATTTAACACTTCACATAAATAAAAACAAACATAAAATCTCCACATACAAAAACAATTAACATTAAAAACCACACTTCCCCTTTAAATTTCTGTTTAAATTAAAACCACACCCCATTCCTCAGCTTTAAAATTGTAATAATTTTTTGTTTAATATTGTAAAATTAACATCAAAAAGAATTTTGAAAAATTATTTGAGTATGAGATATACATGAATTGTTCTATTTGAGTATGAGATAGACAAGGGCGGAACCAGGAATTTTTCAACGGGTGGGCTAGCTAAAGTTATTAGCTTAAAACTTAATGATTATTTTTTTTGGTACTCAAAATTTCTATAGTCTTTGTAGAAATAAAAGTAAACATTAAATCATATAAACCACGCTAGTTAATAGCTCCATAAACTAATTTTCAATAAGTTTTAACATAAACCAAATAGGGTTTAACACCATAGTGGATTGAACATCTAAGGCTTTTTTACCTAGATTGACCTTAGTTCCTTCATGCATTCATATCATACATGAAAAATTGTTTTATGTAAAAATATTGACTAAGTATGAAAAATGGGATTTTAGAATAATCATTTTTTGAAGATAATTTTTGGCGGCTTTTATTCCTCACACATCAAATAAGAAAACTTGATTTTATGGGATTTTAGTATGAAGTATATATTGACTTAATGAGCCATCATTTGTAGCCTAAATCATATTTTGTACTAAAACCGATTTTTCATATTTTGATTTGGTGGGAATTTGATTTTCTAGTATTTTTATTTGAATCTAAATGGGGGGCACTTCCTTATTTACATTGTAAACTTAAGTAAATGGAGTAATATAAAAATAAATAAAAGTAAAATGACAAAGACATTTACTGTAGCCCTTAGTGTGGTTCCGCCCATGGAGATAGACACCTTTTTTTTCCGTTTTCTCCGTACAAGAACTTTCAACGTGGAACTCTGAAAAATATTTATTTTGTTTACTATATATAAAAATCTAATTTGAAAAAGAAATATAAGGTAAAAATTAAGCAGCCGTGTTTCGAGCATAAGAGCGCATGCAGACGACCAAGGGTCTTTGTAGTAATAATATTTTTCATTTTTGTCAAAGGTGATAGGACAAGAGCGTAGCAGAAGGAATGTGTTATTTAGTATGGCTTACCGGTCTGCACAAGATCCATCAGGCTTGTCATTTTCACAGTCGAGCTTTATGATGTTCCCACAGCCCACGAGCTTTATGATCCATCCGGCTGTAATTCCACAAATAGAAAACAGATGAGTTTTTCGAAATCGTTATAGCTACGGAGGAGAGAAAGAAAACATGCGTGTACGCGTACCGGCGGTGGCGCCATCGCTGACGATGATGACCTTCGAATTCGTTGGAAGGTATTCTACGCACTGGGTTCGAATAGCCTGCGCGCATAAACAATCATAAGTTTCTAAAAGTTTAAAGCTTACCCAACAAGAAATTATCTGAATATGTATATTAATTACCTCCATTCTGTGAAGGGAATCTCAAGTTCAAAGCCACTCGAAGAACCACTGATCTCAAAATGAAGAGAGTCTGTTTGAGAATATTAATATATAGAGGTGACTAGGGACACAAGTACGTCGGGAACTAGTAGGGCGGGAATGTGTAAAATATTCTCATTCTTTTCGCTTTTCATTTGAAAGTAAAACATCCAAGGCACAATTCATGTATGATTAAGTCAATAACCAGGCCACAAATTTTCAAGACGACATCAAGAAAAGGAAGAAAGTTGGAAAGTGGATTAGTCATTGTCATTTCCCATTGCCCTTGGTAAAGTCACTATTATATTATTTTTAGACCCCAAAAGCACCAAATATAAGTCACAATTATTTTTTCCAATATACTTGCAAATTGAAATACTTCCCACTTATACTTTATTTATTAACAAATTCTTTAGATTATGTTTCCAAATCTTCCTTTTTGACAAAAGCAATATTATAAATTACTTTAATGTACGAAGAGAGGAATTGAACTGTGGTGCAAAGGAAGAGAGCATATTACGATATTATAAGCTATTTTAATGTACGAAAAGGGAGATCAAACTTTGATGCAAGAGAAAAGAACACATTGTCTTTGCCAACTGGCCTAATCCATGTCTACTTATGTTTGCAAGTTCTATAATAAGTTCTTCATGAGATTTTTTCTTCCAAAAGTATTTCTCACTATAATGCTATTTTAGAGCATTTCTCTAGCAGTAGCCTTTTCTCCTTCAAGTGGGAGAGTTTTTGGGCTAAAATCCCAAATTTTAGGTTTAGCCCCTTGCATTGGAGATGGCCCTATGAATGCAGGAGGACAGAGAAAAGAAAAGTGGTAAAAAGACAGTAGATTATTGATTCTAAAGAGACGCTTACCTCTTTTTGGGGTGACACAAAGTACCTTTACCAGCTCGGTTCGTGTATGTGCATAAATAGAAATGTAATTGAACTTCTTTTCTCTTTTTGGTAATGAAATGTAATTAAATTTGGTGGAGTGAACGTGTGACCCAGTTTTATTCTTCTTTTTCTATGCTAAACAGTCGGGTTTTGTTTTGGTCTTACCATATAACATGGAATTTGGTTAAATATTACAAAATGGATGGGAATTTTATGTTAAATCCATTTTTATCTTTTTTAAAAAAACAAAACAAAAAACAAAAACAACCAGACCATCTTGTGAGAGCAGCAGTCTCAGTTCTTCTCAAACGCTAACACGTCAAGGTAGTTGGTTGTGAGTTGTAACCTACTCTCTGAACTCTTTTTTGTCCTTTTTTTTTTTACTTATTAAAATTCAGCAATGGAGAAAACGTTCGCAGTACAAGTCAGCCCAACACAAAACACTCGTTGCAGCTGAAAAAAAAACATTTGAAAATAATTTCTAGGTTCTCTGCCTCCTTCCTCAGTCTCTGTTACAAGGTCACAAGACTCGCAACAGAACCTCGGTTTCTCGGGCAAAGAACAGAGCATTTCTGATCAGATTTTCCATTCAAGGTCAGTTTTTCTCATCTGGGTTTTTCTCAGAATTCAATTTTGTCATCTGGGTCCCTGCATTGCTTGTATTTGATTCCTCTTACATGCATTGCGTTTTATTTTTTTTCCCATTGTATAAAAGAGAGAGCTTTTATGTTCGGGTAAAAAAAGGAGAGAGCTTTAGCTAGATCTTTTTATCGAAAAGGTGAAAAATGCCAACTTTTGTATAGTATCATAAAAGGTATGTGTTTTTTGGTTATTGATGATTGATTGGTCATTCATTTTGCAGGGATGTTTTAGGTCCTTTGAGTTTGAACTGCATTTGCTGTGCTCTATTGTTAAAGTCCTTCTCTTTGATCTCTCTCACTTCACTGTGATCCATCAAACCCTCTCTTAGATTCTTTTTCTTGTTAGGTTGATTATCCAAAGCAAATCCCGTTTCTGAAACCCCAAATAAACCAGAATGTCATAGGAAATCCAGTTCAACCCAACTACCTAAATCTATTTTACTGTTTATTGACCACCCAAATTATAGATTCCTAATCTCCTATTCTAGAGGAAATCGCTTCCTGTAGTCTCAAATGTTGTTTAAATTGTGGTTCAAGAGAAAGGGATTCATGCTTCTTTAACATCACTGTTCCATTGAGATCACCCAAGTCTCCAAATTTTGTCAATTTAGATCAACCCATCTCCTCAAATTTTCTGAAAATGTCAGCTATCAATTTAAGGACACCTTTAAACCCTCCATCATCAGTATCCTCATCTTCATTGAAGCTTCCTGATTTCAAACAATCTGTGAAGCTGAAGTATGTGAAGCTTGGCTACCATTACCTCATCACCCATGGGATGTACCTGTTCCTATCCCCTCTGTTTGTTCTTACTGTGGCACAGCTCTCTACATTTGCACTCCAAGATCTCCATGACCTTTGGGACCATCTCAGGTTCAATCTCATATCTGTTGTCCTTTGCTCAACTCTTTTGGTCTTCTTATTGACCCTTTATTTCCTTACTCGTCCACGCCCCGTTTACCTTGTTGATTTCTCATGCTATAAGCCGGAGGATGCCCGAAAATGCCCGAGACAAATATTCATGGATAGGTCTCATTTTATAGGAACATTCACTGGGGAGAACCTCGAGTTTCAACGAAAAATTCTTGAGAGATCAGGTCTTGGGGAGTCAAC